AAGAAGAAGAAGAAGAAGAAGAAGAAGAAGAAGAAGAAGAAGAAGAAAAAGAAAAAGAAAAAGAACTATACAAATGAGGTAAGGTATTCCTGCTTTTAAAAATATTATGGAACAGAGCACAGTAAAGCAATGAGATCCTGAGACTTCAAGTAATTTTCAGCATTCAAATCACTGCAAAGTGAGGAGGTTACCTCATAGAGGAACCCCAACTCTTTTTAGTAATATGCACCTAAAATAAATATATCTACTAAGTATATACGTACTAAACTGTTCTTGGTTTTCCTAGCTTCCCTCTGAGATAACTAGTTTAATTCAAACACAGTCTTTACCTGACAGCCGTCTGGGCACATCGGTGATGGCAGGAAGCCCTGTACCTCGTGTGGAGGACAAGGGAGTTGTGGAATGAATGGATGGTGAAGTCATCTGGCTCAAATATGATGGGTAAGACTGGTCATAGGACCATGGAGGGGATGACTGTGCTTGTCTGGGGTCTAAAAACAAAACAAAAAGAGAAAATAATTTAAAATGAAAGACAGGAACAGTTGGTGGAGACAGAAAGTCTAAGTACGATATGTAAGATGGGAACATATGAGAAGGACTCCAAGCACTGGGTCTTTTTCTTCCCTTTTTACTATTCAGAACTGACAACTGACTCCTGAAACTTGAAACTAACAGCATTCATGTAAAATACAGCCGAGTTTGGTTTCAGTGAGGCTTTTGAGGACTGCAGCTGAAAGATATGTCCAATGAAAGATTGATCAAATGCTTTCCAATAGGAAGAATAACTTCCAGATTAGAATTTGATGAAGGGATAAAGGGAGTTTAATAGCTGATGTTAAAACCATTGTCAGTGATGAAGGCCCAGAAGTTAGGAAATCTGATGTTAAGAATCTTCAAGGACATGGGAAATGGAAGAGGCACTGCAGAAATAAATCTAAAATAAGAGAAGGGATGCTGGATGATTTCAGAACTATGGTTACAGTTTTCAGCTCTTTAGATTTATATTATTCCAAGCTTTATCTGGAAGGATTTATTACTCGTGAAACACATATTAGAATTCTAGATGTTGGAGATAACAGAAGCCAAAGTGGACACACACATACACACACAAATAAACACACATCCCAGGAAATATCACAATAGTGCCCTGAAGAAAATTCTGGGGAACCCAACAGCATAACAAATACCATTCTACAATAATGACTGTATTTGTAATAGATACTCAGTGAAAAATTTTCAAAATGCCTTATGACACCAATTTGTCACAGGGCAAGATAATATATTAAAAAAGAAGAAAAAGTTCCTATTAAACTTCTTATGTATCTTTCAAAAATAGAACTAGCAACAGTTTAATGTAATTTTGTTCCTAATCTAACAAAGTGTCTGCACTCTCTCTCTCTCTCTCTCTCCTACATTTTTTGAAGATTCCTTGACAGACTTTCTCACTGCTAGAGAATGAAATAACTTTCCATTGAAAATGTGATTATATGAAAAACATTGAAACAAAACTCATATTATGCTAGACATTTATATATAACTTTGCAAGGAGAAGACCTCTTTTCTATCACTCCAGAATGGAAACCACAGAATGAGAGATGTAAGCTGAAAACATCAAATTTGATTGAAAGAACTTCCTAATTAGAGGAGCAATGTGACAGTGGAACCAATACCTAGAAAGAGATGTTGGGTTTTCTGTTACTGGAGGGATTCAGAACAGAAGTTGGCCAACTATCAAGTGTTTTGGGGCTATTCCAACTCTCTGATTCAAAGATTCTAGCCATTGTTATTTTGGCATTGTCCCTTTCATAGCTAGGCTTGCTACTAACTTTACAGTCTGTTAGTGATGAGGTCATCTTGTCCATTTCCTTCTGTATGTATGTGGTTTGGAAGAGATGGGAAATTAAACTAATTTCAAAAGAGAAATGCCAGTTTTAGGAATAGGCAGAAAATCAGAGGTATACCCGTTTACCAGATTTGAATGCATTTCCAAAGAAAGAACAGAATAGACTAGACTAGACTAGAATAGACTAGACTAGAATAGACTAGAATTCTTTATTGGCCAAGTGTGATTAGACACACAAGGAATTTGTCTTGGTGCAAATACTCTCAGTATACATAAAAGAAAAGATACATTCATCAAGAGTCAAGAATCATAAGGTACAACACTTAACAATAGTTATAGGGTACAATAAACAATCAAATTATACTAGGAAACAGTCAATAAAAATTGTTAGGATACAAGTAACAAGGTTACAGTCATACAGTCATGAGTGGGAGGAGATGGGTGAAAGGAAGGATGGGAGGATTAATAGTAATAGTAATAATAATGCAGACTTAGTAAATAGTTTGACAGTGTTGAGGGAATTATTTGTTTATTAGAGTGATGGCATTTGGGGGAAAAACTGTTCTTGTGTCTAGTTGTTCTGATGTGCAATTCTTTAGTGTCGTTTTGAGGGTAGGAGTTGAAACAGTTTACGTTCAGGATGTGACCCATCTAGATCCAATGGTTCTTAAATTGAGGGCAACTTGGATATATCCTGGGCTAATGGAGCAATTTGTATTTGCTTGTTTATAATTTGAGAATGTAATTGGGGACAGATACTTATATAAAACAAGAATATGTTGGGGGGCGTTATTAAATTATCTGAGACTGGGAAAAGGATTAATTGCATCAAATAATTTAAGAACCACTGATCTAGGCTGTAACCATGTATACAACCCAAAGCTTGGTTGGTTTAGACTGAAGCCTTTTCTGGACTTACCAAAAGGTGCTAGAAACCATGTTTGGAAACTTTTATCCAAATGCTATGTTTGTCATGTGAAAATGATACAGTGAGAAAAGGTCTAAATTCTTTTAGTATTTGCACAGGATTAGGCACATCAGGAGGTGAGTACAATTACTTGCCAATTCATATCAAAAATGATACGTTGCTTGTTGGTTTCTGACAGTTACTTTGCTTCTCAAGCCCACTTCACAGAATATTTTGATTTGAACCAAATAATACCCAACTTTCATTTCCTGACTGGAGAAATAGGCTGGAAAAGAAGTTCCTTATTAACAGTATCAAGTAGTGTAGGACTGAAAAGAACAATTTGTTCATCCATGTAAGATAAATTGCATTCTGATCCTTCTGGGGGGATATTTGAGCAGCAAACCATTATCATTCCTGGAACATTTCTATTTATAGAATAAGGATATGTTAATGTAATTTTACTACTGTTTTGCAAATAGAGATCCATTTATGATCATTAGCTGGCAGAAGAAATTTTTTCTACTATTTGGGAAATTTATATAATCATAGGAAAAACATTTTTCTCTCCCTCTCTATCTAACATCTTGTAGATTCAGCTTTTTTCCTTCCATTATTCAGACATGATTTGCTTGAAGAATTTTAAAACGGATAGATAGATAGATAGATAGATAGATAGATAGATAGATAGATAGATAGATAGATAGATTACTTTATTATACTTTGGGAAGAATTATTCTTCATTCTGCAACATATATTATGAGTATATTTTCCAGAAGGATTGTTTAGGAACCGAAAAGCATCACTCTGAAAATAAAGGCGGTGTTTCCTAAATACAAACAATTTATTTTGTTTGCAATTTTAGGGATGGATGTCCTAACTTTATTTCAATGCTATATAGCTGCTAATTAAATATAGTAAAATGTATCAATACTATAATTCATTGCTTAGCACACATTATAAAAGATTTCAGATTGAATTTGGCTGAGAAAAGTTTTGCTTAACAAAAGCAACCTGACTACAAGCAATAGGTTAAAGTAGATATCTAAAGACAGTACAATCTGTTTTTTTTTTTCTTTTACATTCAAATTCCAAAGTAGAGTAGGTAGCATACAGATGCTAATAACAAATAAAATAACATCAAGAGACAAGAGCTTAAAATCCAAAACTTTTCTACATCAAGATTCCAGTAAAGGTTGGCAAGCTCAGCTGAAAACTTATGTGTGGAGCTCCAAAACTATGTCTAGCTTTAGAGGCGATGTTTGATGATTTCTGAAACCTCCCTGTATATACAGGACTTATTACATGCACTTTTCCAAGAAAACCCACATTATATGCTTATGGTATCTGTATTTAACTGTCTGCATTAAAGTAGAGTTCTGGGCTAGCAAAGGAGAGGATAAGGTACAAAAAACCAATTATGAAAAAAAAGATGGCAGATATTTTAAGCGTATATTTAAACATTTAAAAGATCTTAGAAAGAAAACAATGATACAAGCTACAACAGGTAAGACAAGAAACAAATGCTTTCAGTGACCGAGGTACATATTTAGATTGAACTATACAAATAATTATGTATGAGTGATTCAGAAGAAGGAAGGGGGACAGTGATAGCAATATAGGTCTAGGAAAAAGCAAAAGCATTTGCTTCGGAAATCTAGGCATTGCAGTGATAAACATCTCCTGAGCTGGCCTGAAATTAGGGAGATGAAATAGTTTGAAGTCAAATCTAAGATTTAATTATTCTTCTCTCAGTTTCTTAATGTAAAACTCTTACACCCAGTCCTGCACATAGCATTTTTAGCTATTTATTAGACTAAATTATGCTTCCCACCCTATTAGAAAACATTTTGAACAAAATGGTAATCCCATTCTCATTTTGTGCAAAATTTAAAACCCATGTCAATAGCAAAGGAAGCTACTTTTTTGTCTGTTGTGAACAATGAAATATGATTGTGACTTATACTTTCTGGAATATTATATTATGCCAAGTAAAAATGAAAATATCTTTTGCATACAAGGATTCCGTATCACATATAACTCTTTAGAATTAAACAAATAATATTCAATTCATATGAGAATTAATATTAATTAACATATTAGACAAATCCATGTCATCTACATCTCTCTCTTTAACAGAAAAAGCAGCACTCTATAAATGAGAGTCTTATTGCATAATATCTGTTGCAGACCCCACACATTGCTTAAACCATGAATGGCTTTGAGCTTAACCAAGAACAATTTTTAGGAGTCCTTTACTGGGGCAACTCACCTCGTCTGACTCGCCCCAGTCAACTTGCTGCAGGACAACTTACCATGGCTAACTCATCACAGGACAACTCACAATGGGACAATTCAATATGGGATAACTCAAAAGAGGGATAATTGCAGCAGGCCTTGCCTTGCTTTAGGTCTAAACCTTCTCTAGTTAGAAATCTTTGAGGCTGGGGTGAGCTGCAATTCTATTTGTCCCTCTCTGGAATTATCCTGTGTCGAATTGTCCTGAGTTGACTGCAGCTAGTTGTCCCATTCAGTTTTCTGGTCTTGTAGTCTTGTAGTCCAAAACATACTTTAACTGTAGAACATATGAAGTTTGTCAGGTGGCAATCCAGCTATGTTTGACATATCTTTAAGTTGACATATCAGTCATGTCTTTCAATAAACCCAGCATGCAACTGGTAGAAGCAAACGATATACAGGGAATCCCAAAACTGTTAAATGGGAAAGACCCTGGGTTTGCT